AAAGGAAAAAACTGATGAAGTACAGGTAGTCCTCAACTTACAACAGTTCACTTAGTGACTGTTCGAAGTTACAATGGCACTGAAAAAAGTGCCCCCCAAGCCACAGCCGAGCAAGACACCTGCCTGCCCACCCGGCGGTGCTCTTCCTCCTGTCCGAGGTTTTCATTGTTGTGAGCATTTCTGTTGAGGATTGGCAGTGGGGGTGGGGTGGGGTGGGGTGGGGTGGGTGTTTGGTTTTTATTCCCCCTGTCTGCTGGGTGGTTGCAGCAGGTTTTGGTCACTTCACATGACCCTGGGACACTGACCATCATAAATATGAATCAGTTGCCAAGCATCTGAATGTAAATCACAAGACCCTGGAGATGCTGCAACATTCCAGCTGATCAGCGCTTTTTCTGGGCTCACCAAAAGCACCAGGATCAGCGGCGAGCTCCAGCTGGACCCTGGCGCTGATCCTGATGCTTCCACTGAGCCCTGACAGTCCCAAAGAAGCGCTGATCCTGGCACTTCCACTGAGCCCTGACAGCCCTGCAGCTCCAGCCATCTCTCGCTCAGGCTTGTGCGGTGCTGCCACCGGTTCAGCTCATTCCCCTCCCCTGCTACCACTTTTCTAGGATGGTCGCATACCACCTGCCAGGTGCCAATGTACCACAGGTGGTACCTGTACCACTGGTTGAAAAGCCTTGCTCTACGCTCAGGAATCAAGTGGGGGAGACAGTTGCTCATCTCCCGAGCTCTCTCGCTCCTCTGCTGTGTTGCCTGCCCTTTCCATCTCCTCCCCCCTTGCTCGGTCATCCTGCGCCCTCTCTTCCTCTTTAGCGACCCTTCTGAGGTCCAAGGAACCCGGGACTGCCTCATCCTGCTCCTTCGGTCATTTCTCCTGGACCAGAGAGGCTGTGTCATCTCCTCCTCCTCCTCAGAACCAGGTTCCAACAGAGCCATGATAGATCACATGACCCCAGAACACAGCAACTGTGATAACTGTAAACCAGTGACCAAGGATACAAATTTTGATCATGTGACTATGAGGATGCTGCTATAGTCATAAGTGTGACTACAGCACTTTTTTCAGTGCAGTTGTAATTTTGAATGGTCACTAAACGAATGGATGTAAATTAAGGACTACCTGTAGTCTTAACTTCACTGACTGACAACCTCCCTCTTAATTATTATGTAAATGAGTCTTCAAAGACTCTTGTGTAAGTCAATAACCTTAATTATGAGCCCTTATGTCTGTCAGAATAGAATAGAATAGAATAGAATAGAATAGAATAGAATAGAATAGAATAGAATAGAATAGAATAGAATGGGATGGGATGGGATGGGATGGGATAATAATAAAATTCAATATATTTAATGAATAAAAGACTAGCA